GAATTAGTATAAGAATAGAATAGAGTAGAGTAGAACAGAACAGAGTTGAAGTAGAATAGAACAACAGAACAGAATATATATAGGACAGAACAGAATAGAATTAGAATAAGAATTAGAATAGAGTAGAATAAAGTAGAGTAGAAACAGAACAGAGAGTAGAAGAGAACAACAGAACAGAATATATATCAAACAGAACACAGTAGAGTTAGAATAAGAATTAGGAGAGGACCTTGGAGGTCTTCTAGTCCAGCCCCCTGCTCAAGCAGGAGACCCGAGACCATGTCATACAAATGACCGTCTTTCTTCTTTTTTTTTGAAGTTTCTTGGTTGAGAAGGGAAACATCTTCAAAGAAAAAACAGAGTCCAGTTGCTTCTTGGGTGGGGGGGGGGGAGAAAAAAGGCACCTCTGGGACATCCATGATCTGGAGGACTCGAGAATCTCCGCAGACACGAAGAGAAGGATGAGAAAACTATCGAAAACGCCGCCTCTCCGATTCTCTTCCCCCCCCTTTTCTGCAAAGACACCCCAATAACCGACATTCTGCGTCTTTTCCCCGCTTTTTCCCAAATCCTGAACGTCGAAATTCTCCGGCTGCTTTTGATTCCGGCCCCCCCCCCCCCCCGCCGGCCTTTTTTTTTTTAAAAAAAAAAAAGATTCCCCCCCCCCCCCCATCCCCCGACTCCACCATCCTGGGAGAGGAAGACCCGGGTGGAAAAACCAAAACAAAACGAAAAGAATTATTATCGTTATTATTAACCCCAGGGGACAACAAGAGCAGACGGAGGAGGAGGAGGAGAAAAAGAAAGAAAGAAAGAAAAAGGGGCCGGGGATGAGACGGGCCTTGAGCATCGCTCGGCCAGAGCGCGGGAGCAAGGCGGGTCCCTTGGGACTGGCGGGGTGAGGGGTGAGCCTGCCCCTGCAGGCAAGTGGGAGGTATTTCGGGGGGCGGCAGGGTGGAGACGGTGGAAGGAGGAGGGAGGTGCAAACGGAAGAAATTGCAGGCAAGGCTGGAACAGCCTGTATTGCTTGTCCTTAGTCTTGCAGACCAAGCCCCGCCCCCCCCCGCCCCCCCAAAAAAGACACGGTTCAGGTTGGTTTGTGTGAAGGGACAGAAGAGTGGGGAGGGATGGGTGACCAGCGGAGAAGCCAGGAAGAGTCCAAATGGGACCAGCCCATAGTTCTGAGTGGGTGCCTCCCACGCCCCCCCGCCCTCCCCAACTTCTAATTCAGTATTGGTGATCCAGAAGGGGCTGGCCGGCCGCCGGACTGTCTTCGTCTTCTCGTTGCCGGCCCCATTCGGCCGCCAGGGGCTCGGGCTCCGCGAACAGAGTCTCTTCTTGAGGGGCGGCGGAGAGGGGCTCCAGAGGCAGGGGGCTGGGGGTGCTGGTGGCGGCCTCGGGGACGGGTCCTGGGACAGGAGCCTGCGGGAGAAAGGGAGCGAAGGCAGGCGGTCATATATCGGGTGGGCGGCAGCGGCGTTGCGCAGGAAAAAATGGAAGGGCGCGTTGAGCCCCCGAACGGATGCAGAAGTTGATGGGAGCTGAACTGAGGTGGGGAAACGGACCGCTTTGATTTAAAGGCAAACAAAAACCAGGAGCTGGTCAGGATCGAAATGCTGGCAGTCGGCAGAACTAAGTCTGCAGTACTGCATTCTAACCACTGCGCCACATGGCAAATTTAATGGAATGGAGCAGAATAGAATAAATATTGGAAGGAATAGAATAGATTAAAGTACAACAAAATAGAATAGAATAAATATTGGAATAGAATAGAATAGAATAGAATAGAATAGAATAGAATAGAATAGAATAGAATAGAATAGAAACAGAATAGGAACAGAACAACAGAATAGAATAGAATAGAACAAATATTGGAATAGAAATAGAATAGAATAAATAGAATAGAATAGAATAGAACAAATATTGGAAGGAATATAATAGAATAGAATAGAATAGAATAGAATAGAATAGAATAGAATAGAATAGAATAGAATAGAATAGAATAGAATAGA